ATGCCTCTCATCATCTTAAATTTCACAGGGTCTGTAGAAGAGCCTGTGGTATTCAATGAAGGACCTCACTCACTGATTTTTCCCTTGCGCTACAGTTACAGGTGGTCTTTTCCATGGAATTCCTCTAAGGGGATCAAGTCTGGATTGGAAAACGTCATCTTAAACATTTTATTAATTTATATTCCATTTGGTATTTCCTATGATTATAAAACAAGCATGCCTAATTTCATCCAGATGCCAGGAAGAGCATTATCCATGTGCAGAGACACTAATACCTTTGATCTCTCCACCTGTTGAATCTCTGCCTGAGATGTTCTTCAGGGTGTGCTGCTCTTAATATCCTCAGTTCTATCAAACATGTTACACAGTGTGTTGTTGCCCTCAGACCAAAGGTTTCTTCCTTTATGAGATTCAGGCTTTGTAACGCGCTTTACGTGGGGCTTCCCCTGAAGACAGTCCGAACACTTCAATTGGTGCAAAATAGAGCTGCCAGGTTGCTGACGGGGACGGGGCGTTATGCTCACATGACTCCAGTCCTCCATCAGCTTCACTGGCTTCCCATTGAAGCCCGGGCCCAATTCAAGGTGTTGATTATGACCTACAAAGCCCTAAACGGCTTGGGTCCTAGCTACCTGAACGAGCGCTTACGTCCGTATATGCCCGACCGCCCTTTGAGATCTGCGGGAGAGTCCCTTCTCCGGGAACCCTCCATGAAAGAAATTAGGAGAGTAAGTACCCGGAGGAGGGCTTTCTCTGCGGTGGCGCCCAACCTATGGAATTCACTCCCCAAAGAGGTCCGCCTGGCACCGTCGTTACTGGTTTTTCGGCGCCAGGTAAAGACCTTTTTATTTAAACATCATTTCAATTGTTAAAACATATGATCTGGCCTGGACAACTTCTTCTTCCTTCTCTTTCTCCTCCTATATTTTTATTTTATACTGATAATTTTAATTTTGTATTTGTAAATCAATGTATTTTTTGTATTGTTATATTTAATGGTAATTTATTATGTACTATTGTATTTCAATGTATTTTATCATGTTGTAAGCCGCCCCGAGGTTTCGGCAAGGGGCGGCATAGAAATGTTATAATAATAATAATAATAATAATAATAATAATAATAATAATAATAATTTGATACTTTGATTTATCTGCACTATGAATAAAACCCTGGTCCTTCAGATGGAAAAGGATTCATCTGGCATATTCTCATGGGTTTTTTTCTTCATTTTTTCCAGGGCTACCACTGGATCCAGAGAGTGTGGACTTTGGATTACTGTGGCAGGACTCTTCCTTGGCCCTTGCTTAAAGAGACTGGTGGCCGACCATACCATCAGTGCACCAGCCCCATATCCCAGGGCTTGGCACGGGTTCCCATTAGGGACCAAGTCCACATTATCCGACTCAGCCGGAGCACTTGAAGCTGGCCACCTTAGCTTGCCTTGGTGGAGGAGGACTGAAAAGGCCGAAGGGATTCTCAAGCAGCTTCTCCCAGCCGATCTCCATCTCTTTGAATCCCATCATAAGCGATGCGTAGACTAGGGCTAAACCCAGGACAAACTCCAAATAGGCAGCTAGTTCCTTCAGTTCCCAGACTCCTAACTGTGACTTTCCCAGCCTTTTCCCCAGCTGCCTTCACAGAATCCTAGAATGGTAGACGTGGAAGGGGCCAGGAAGGCCATTGGGTCCATCCCCCTGCTGTTGCAGGACACCAAGTCACACCATCCCACTCAGAGGGCTGCCCAGTTTCCTCCTGAATGTCCCCATTGTGGGAGAGCCCCCCACCTCTCCAGGCAGCTGGTCCCACTGCCGTATTGCTCTGACAGTGAGGAAGCTTTTCCTGATGCCCAGCCTGAATCGGGGTTGTCACAACTTGAATCGATTATTCCGTGTCCTACACTCTGGGGTCAGTGAAAGGAGATCTTGACAGCCTTTGAGGTCCTTATAGAGGGATACGTACTGGAAGGGATCTGAGGAAACATGGCAACCGAGAAGGGATTTCCTACCTTAGCTTTTGTGGCCACCTTTGGTCCCTGCCTTTGGTCCCTGAAGTCTGAAGTCACAGACTTCACCAGAGTCCCCCTCCACACACACACACACACACACACGCACGCGCACGTGCGCACGGTGGGGGTTCTTGTATGGGCACCATCACTAGCAGGTCTTCCCAAAACTCATCTGTCCCAGGCCCAATGAATCCCCCGAAGAGCCTTGTATGTGTTTGAGGACCCTTCAGGAACGGGAGCAGTTATAAGGGCAAACTCAGACATCAGCATGTTTCCTTGGCAGAAGTCTGTTCAGTGAAAAGGTTTCTCACTCGGTTTGCATACTTCAGTTTCACATTCGGTATTGCAGTTCTTACTCTGTGACCCTCAGCTCCATGGAATCAATGATTCTGTCTTTCTTGCTAATGACGAGGTCAAACAAAGTTGCAAAATTGCACACAGTTGCAAAACAAAGTCTTAGGGGTTGCAAAACGGCACTAGCGTAATTACTGGGGAAGTGGAGGGACGGCAACGGGTGTCCACGCTTCATGTAAAATGCCAGAGGGAGATGGCAGAAAGCGTTGTTCAGGGTAGACTGGAAGAGCTGCTCCACCGCTTAGCCGTTTTGCGGGGCAAAAACAGATCACAAGAATGTTCAGCTCAAATCTAACTGCAGCTGAGGGTAAGAGCCACTGTTACAGATAACCTTATTTGAAGTCTCCTTGTAAATGGACCCTGTGATCGCCAAGAAAATCTTTGGCAGCTTCCTTAAAGTTGGGCAGGCACAGGGGACTTTTGCCGACCTCGCCATATTTTTCCTGGAACATGAGCTCATCGGTGGTGGCTCCCTAAAACTAGGACCAGCCCTCTGCTGCAGGATTCACTACACACCCTCCCTCCCTCCCTCCGTCTTCCAAGGATTTCTCAAGATGGGTTGCAAATGAAAAGTAAAACATTAAAGCATAAAATAAAACAAATACAGGGAAATACAAACATTCAGAGTAAACCTGAAAACAATGCCAGAGAAAATCAAAACATATTTTTAAACTCATAACATAGTAGCCAATAAAATAACGACTTAATACAGACTGAGCAATAAAACGGTTGCCTCTTTCCTGTATCTGATTTCTCTTCTTCCTCTGAAAGTCAGCTTTCAGTTAAGGCTTTTATGGTTAGTTGCTTTTCGGAATTGTCAGCTCTTTCATTTAACTTATCTTCCTGCTGTGTTTTATTTCGGTTTTCCTATTTTATGCCTTAAATATTCATTTTGGTTCCTTTTTGAGAATCCCAGAGGAAAAGTGGGTTATAAATTGCCTAAAACCAAAACCGTTGAGCGAGCACCATTTGCATGCAAAAGGAACAACCTTGGTTCAGTTCATTTTATTCTTGAATTTCTGGTTATACAAGAACCACCGGTGAATTTTTCTTATCTCCTTTGTTTTCAATTTATGCAATACTATTTTTCTCTTCCGCAGGGACAGAGCATCTGCAATGAGTCCTGAGACAGCACCCTACAAATGCCCTTCTGCTCAAGTGACTGTATCCATTTGCATGCAGAGTTGCCCTCATTGAAGCAAATTTATTTATTTATTTAAAACATTTCTATGCCGCCCCCATCGCAACAAAGCCTCGGGGTGGCTCACAGCATAATTAAAACATATAAATAACAATTAATACAATTAAGGATTAAAAAGCCCGGTAGCATCTCGGCTTAAAAATTCAAAATCCTATAAATACCATAATAAATTAACAATTAAAATAAATTTTAAATAAAATGCTGCAGCCCTTTTGGGGCAGAGACTCCAGGCACAAATACGAGATAGCACGCACCTGTAACAGCCTCCTTAAATAAGGAAGCCTGGAGAGAGCGTGTCCTGGATGCGGGGGAAATACTTACATCGCAGCTCTGAAGATGGAGTATTCTGTATTAGGCAGAAAAGGTTGATTTTCTGGGAAATGTGATGATTACAAGCAGGTACATGATCACAAGCCAGGTTTTGAATGGAAGGACATGTGCTAAGATGTACTGAGTACACGCCATCACAGGCTGTGTCATGCAGTGCGGCTGCCCATAACCTCCAAACTTGGAGGGTTGTGGGTATCTGGAGTAGGACAGAAGATGCACGGAGCTGAGGGTCGTCTTGTGAACCCCAACCTTCTAAAATCCTCAGGCAGCCGATTTTGTCGGTCTGCGTCCTATTCTGGCCCATGAAGGGAAGAGTCGGGTGTTCCGAGATGGCAAGACTGGTCCCAGAGCCGGGGTGCGGGAGGATTCCCTGTTGGGGGGCAAAGGCTGGACTGAGGTTGGACTTCCCGTCTCGGAGCAGCACTGGCCATGACGGTGGTGATGGTGTGCGTTCCCGCTTCAGAGCCCTACGTATCTCTGACACTGGAGTGCCTCTCTGAGGTTTGGGCTGGGACTTGTGGCAGCCATGGGGTCTTGCCCTGGCTGAACAACTTGACGCATATGGACACAGAAGGAAGCCCGACTGAGTGAGTTCAGGGTGTGCTCGGAGCCGCAACCAAGTCGGTGCAGAACATCCCCCTTAAAAAAGATACATATAAAAGGGGAACGTGCAAGACGAAGAAAGAGGGATGAGAACAAAAGGGAGGAGAAAATCGAGTATGCAAGGCCAAAAGAACCAGTGTGTGGTGTAGTGGTTAAGAGCATGGGGCTGGGACTCAGAGGATCCGGGTTCGAGTCCCCGCTCAGCCATGGAGCCAACTGGGTGACTCTGGGC